CCCCCCCCCCCATTTTTTTTTGTCTGTTTGTTTTAAATAAAAGTAAAATAAACCCCCTATAAAGAGTTTTAAACCTCAAGAATAAATACTGGTTTTGTCCTGGACTCTGAATCTGACCAAAAAAACCACAGGACAAAACGCATACATCTCACACCTATACGCTATTATGATCCTTTAGTTTGTCCTATACAGATTCAAGTCTGATTCCAGTACTTTACACCCTCTTATTTCCAAGTAAAGGGTTTCTACCCCTCCATTTTCATGACGTGTCGCTCAGGTTGGATCCTTCCAAAGTAGTCTGCTACTGAGGAAAAAGACACCACAGGAGCAAGTGCACAAAAGCTTCCACATCTTCTGAACTGCATGGGAACCTTGCTACCACCTTTGGCCTCTGAAGTGCTTCCCAAATTTCAGATCAAGTGCTCCCCAAATTTCAGATCAAGCAAGGTATTGCAGGAAATAGGACTCCAAATACATATTTCAAGTTAAATAACTGCTGACAGGAGCTTTGCAAGAATCTCTCAACTTGGAAGCAATCTTCTTCAGGTAAATGGCATTTAAATGGGCTAAATGCAGGGGCTAGTTTGTGAGTCACATTGCAAGGAACAGAGGAAGGATCTTCCAGAACAAAAGAAAGTGCAGTAATGTAACTATTGGCTTGATCAAAATGCCTAACCAATGTAGTTAAAGATTGACTAAATTAAGGTGAACTACTCAGTTTAAAACTTTTTTGACTTCAATGTTAAATAGGATACTGATTTTATGTTAATACTAATTTTAGATTATTATTTAAAAGGTGAAAAACACCATACTAAGTTAAATAATCACCACCAAAAAAGTGGATTTTATCCACTACATTTTATTTTTTGCAATTTGGGAATCTTTGAAGTGAGATAAACCTCTTAAATATCTAGCAGAAAAAAACTTCAAATGAAGGCATTAGTTCACCCTATGACAGTGTTTATGACTACACTCCATAAAGCGCATTTAGAAGGAGAATTCAAACACTAACCTCTGAATTTAAGTGGACTTCCATAGGTGTGTAAGTTGGCCAATAACCCATAGTTAATATATTTACTGTCAGGTCTATATTTCCTGGGTCACTTTGGTTCTGCATATACTAAAATATAAGAGACAAAAAAAAAAAAATCGTTCATGTATACTGTGGCATGCTAAATTAGAAAATATATATACTTAAATTAGAAATTTAAAGCTGGTAGAATAATGACAAATCTCTACACATCCTTGGTTAGGCATGCTCTACCAAGATTTTGAATTCCACAATTATTTAGTGCTCCCATCCCCAGTTTCAAAATGTGGCAAGTGGTTGGAAGTAAAAAGAAAAGTACAACATGCCTTGAAGTATCCTAGACCGCTGTCTTTACAGGGTGTTAAGGTCAAGGGAACTTCTATCACATGCACATAAAGCAAAAGAGGGGCTTTTGCTCAGAAGCCAGGGCAAGAACTGTAAGGTCAAAAGGACCCCCCGGGACTTCCACATGTCTGCTAGACAATACATTTTCTTATAATTTGAGCATAGCATCAGTCAAGCCAGGCTGCAAAGTCTGGGACAGAAAAGTCACTAAGAGTATTTTATTACAGGAGCAGGTGTCCTGACTCAGATCCCTACCCCAGTATCCTGTCTTCAATAAGGCCCCAAAACAATAAGACCCAAGGAGAAGTGTAACAACAGGGTGAGCATATACAGTGTTTCCTCCAAGCATTCCTCAATCACCAGCAGGTTGGAAACTCTGGGGCTGTGCCATACATTGTTTCTGTGCACTTAGCAACCTTCAGGGAGTTTCTCTGGTGTGGGTCACTCAAAGAATTAATCAGAGCAGCAACAGTTTACAGAATTAAGGGATACAGACTTGAAAGTATGTTAGACAACTAAATTACTATGTGGTATTAAGTAAATTACAGTCTAAAAAAGGAAACAAATAAGTAAAATAAGACTATCTCTGAATAGATATAAAATAAATAAATTCTGTTCTGTAACTAGAATTATAAATAGACTCTGTTACTATGACCAGGACCTGCTCAAAAGTTGTTTCATTTTCTTTTGGCTTAATCCAAGGTGTAACACCATTCAGTACTTCCCCATCACTACTGAAAATTTAGTGCACGAACACAAGCTAAATGTACCTGCTTAAACTGAACCATGACATCTTTTGACAGTTCCATGTCCTTGAACATGCCCTCCAGTTTGCTGGTAAAAGCAGCGCCACATTCTGTCACACGAATTAAAGCAAAGATCCCACAATTACAAAGAAGCACAGAACAAGCAATAAAGGTTTAACCTGAGACAGCTGAGCCAGATTTCCCAGGGTCCAGGGCACCCACAACTAGGTACATGTTTTAAGGACTTTGCTTCTCTCTCGGTACATTAAATGAACCAGTCACATATCTAAGAAGTCAGCCCAACAGTTCGCACTGAGCACAATGCAAGCTGTGATATGCTCAGCTATTATTTAAAATCTGACTCATCACTTCATAAAGCATGAGAAAATAAGGATTCCAATTTACATGCCAAAAAGTAATAAAAATGTAACACATCTGAAGGCACCTACCATGTTTAAGCTTTGACAACATGGATTTCTCAGCATCTACTGATGCACTTTTCCCAACCAGCAGTCTTTTGGCCAAGTCTTTCTTATAAAAAGCCTCAAACACATCTTTACCTGTATGGAGATTGAAACAAAAATAAAATACAACTGACATCATGCATTCTATTTGCATCATTACACTCCAGTTTGTGACACAAGCCTTTCTCATGACATGCCAATCAGCAGAACAATATTCACTACACAACAGCAAAAAAAAACATATAGACAACTTGTTCTTTCTACATTTTAATTATTTTCTTAACATATTTGGCAAAATTTTTAATTCTTTCTTTTTTTTCAGGAACATGGGCTGCCTTGTATTTCCCACTGGACCAGCTACAAATCACATGAAATTATTCTGGGGTCCAGAAGAAAGTTCTCCCTCCACTGGTCTGATTTATTAAAATTAAAAAAAGAAAAAAGGTTCCTACATATTAAAGAAATAATCTTTAAAAGCCTAAGGCGCAAAAAAATTGACAGCAGTCTTCTCACTTGATTTGCCAATAGCCTTTTGAAATATAGAGAAGCCATACAGAGACCCACAAACTTTCACACCTTAAGCTAGAGCTTCGGTACATCTTTTCTATTGATAGTGCAAAGATACCAGCAAGTTTTTTCACTTTTAAGAGGAAGAAATTAATTGTAACTCAAGGTACTATTTGCACTGCCTGCAGTAGCCCATTCTAATTCCTTGCAAACACCTTCAATGTAGCAATTCTTCTGATACTCTTTCCTTCTCCATCCTGCCGCCTGGTCAAGTGCTGTTTCATGAAACAGCAAGAAGATACTATCGAAAAGTCCAATGCCCAGAACCTAACTACTAATTATCATCTGCTCTTAAAAAGGACTCTTATGCACTAGATAGCTCAAAATAAATTTGCACGTTCAGCTCAGTACTACAAAAAATACTGAGAGAAAAAGAGTTGGTCAGAGTTTCAGATTAACAGAAATTCGTCTCTTAGGCTGACAAGTTGCCAGTGATACTGGTTTCATTCACCATCTCCATCCAATACCCTTTGCATTTGACAGGAATCATGACGCAACTGATACTACTTTATGACTGGTTTCTTGCCTGCTTTCCCATTATATTGTACTTGTTTTGGACTTTACGAGGAAAGAACCCCACAGACCTCAGAACAAACTAATACAGAATTGGGTAGTTCCTGCTTATTCCACCCCAGGCCAGCATACACATCCCACTTCCCTCAAAACAGCAACCATGCATCTCTACTGGACTGAACCACATATTTTTTCTAATATTCAACCTAGCAAAAAAACGCCCAAAATCTCCTAACACGTTAGGAGCATAGGGTTTTGCTCAGATAGGGACATACATTAGGGAAGTGCGTTTCAAAGGCAGTAAAACACAGCAATGATGTTTATCTCCCGTCATTCTGAGCCCTCCTCTGTGTTCACTCTCAGCAACAATGAGAACAGACAAGTCATTAATTGCTGGGTTTTCACGTACTTTGCACCTACAACATACTGAGGTGGGCAGGGAAGAGAAAATCTGTACTAACCTTTCTGTTCTCTGTCATTAGAGGAGAGTTTGTGGCTACAGATATGGTTAATTTATGTGAAGAAAACCTTCCACCAACAGCTCTAACTCTTAGGTCTCCACTCACAGACTGTAAAAGGTCTGTAACTTGCCAGTCTCCAGTGAACAAGTTTGTCCTCCCTGGTGTATTTATTGTGCTCCTTCAGATGTAAAGGCAACCTGAATTTAAGACCAAGTCAAGCAGAAACTCATGCTAAACAAAAAGATCTCTTAAATTCAGAGGAATGTAGTTCTGCTAGTAGCAAGGAAAACAATTTTAGCTGCACCAACTGTGAACCGATATGTCTTACCATGAATGAATCTAAATATGATCATGATTTTGTCAAGGATTCTTTCCAGCTCTTCATCTGTTGCTTCTTTATTACCAGCTCTTAACTTGGAATCCACATATTTTGCTACAGACAAATAAAACAGTTTAACAGCTTTAAAAAAAAAAAAATCTAAAATAACCAACTTAAGCATCTCCCACTTGAAATATTACTATATGTTAAATATTACTATATGTTAAAATACAGGCTAGGTGTTACATTTTCTCTTTTCCCTTTTCCCATCCCTATGTTCAGTGGAATGATAGAGGCCTACTGTACTACTGCCGTAATGAAAAAACATCACAAAAAGGAACCGTCCAAGAAACAAAATGAATACAGCATAATCATTAAAATTAATGCATTAGAAATTCTCACATTTTGTGTTACAGTCACAGCAAGCACATTACTTGTTGAAAGACAAGTGTACAATGCATATGAATGTATTTTATGAGAAACAGAAACAAACAACACAGAGAGGACTATATTTTTGTAGACCATTACCACGTCCCTCCTGCTCCTTGGCAGGAGCGTACCAAAATTTAAACAGAAGCAATGCTTTCAAGTTAGTAGCTTCAGAATGCCAGAAATAAGGTTAAGCCATGAGTTTAGCTAAGTATTTATTATGCCACATCAGTATCCTCACACAACCTTCTGTGTAAGAAGGAAACCTTTGCAGGAGCCGAAACACCACAATCCACAAATGACAGCAGCCCATATCATGGCTTTAACGTGTATCACTAGGCTCTGCAATTTGTCCTATGTAAAGCTGGTTTTAGAAGGAACACATAAAATAAGTTGAATAAAGGCAGAAGAACGTACAGAGGAAAAAACAAACAACCAAGGAGTGGGATCCTCTCCCGGCATACAATGCCACAGCTCTGGTTTTGCTGCAGGCAAAACAATCAGAACAGCTTTTGCCAGATCAGGGATAAAAACCAGTAACAGTATTTTTAAGATGTTTTTATTATTTTTCCCCTTAATGAGCACTAGGTCCCCCTTCAAGGTAATAAATTTTTTTTCTCTAATAAAACTCCTTGTATCTGAATGCTTTAAAACTGTTCTCCCAACTTCAGCCTTCAAGGCAGACAGGTGGGCTGTATGTAGTCCTTTCCGAGAGATCCATAACATTCAAAGAACTCCTCTACCACCACAATTAAAAACAGTTCCCTCTTTTTTTTTTTTTTTTTTTGCCACAGCTACTCTTCCCCCTAACCATTCACTCCACTGGCAGCATCAGCATTACTCTCTCTGAGCAGTTGTTAGCACCAGGCACCGTGCAGGAAGCAGAGCGCGGGGACAGAAGTTGGCATGCTCCGTCGGGACGCTGCGTGCACGCCTAACAGCACACCCAAGCTTTTTGAACCCGCAACGCTCCCAGGTTAGCTTTTGCCTCACATCCCAAAAACGAGTCTCCTAAAGCAGAATGCGTACTGCATCACTATTGCACTAGCACACTCAGCAGCATTATCTTATCATGCTTTCTACAGATTTTTGAAATATTTTACAGAAAAATATTTGTGTACCTATCAATTCTGCAGGCTTATTTGGTCTCTTGTTGATAAATGTTTCAAAGGACTCCTTCATCAAGTTTATAAATTTTTCATTTTTCTGAAAGCACACTTCTATGATATGGTCCACTTTATCCTTAAAATCTAGTAGCTCTTGCACCATATCCTTGTCCTTTTCAGGATTAACCACTATTGTTGTCCCAAAGTTCTGTAAAACAAACACTTTTGATAATAAAATACTTCAGAGTGCTACCTATCTCCCCCAACAGACACATTCACCCTTACAAAACTTATCATTAGAAATAATAATATTTTTTTTTTACAGACCTACTTATGTGACTTCAAATTTTCAAAAGATGAGATGCATTGAAATTTAAAATAAAAACCCAGACACACATTAATGATTTCAAACATTAGTGTTTGATTTAAAGATTATATACATTTAAGACAAAAGTTAAAAAAAAAATTACACAGTAGACGTGACTACGATGGGCAAGTTTACAGTTAGATACAGAACTACATGATTAATGTAAAAGAAATTATATGGAAACTGCCTCAGAAATGTTAAGCGTAATGGGAAACTTTGCACTGTTTTTCTTAAGTCCACTAGAGAGCTCTATTGATGGAACAGGTGGCAAAAATTCTAGTGCTGCTCATCACTCCAAGATTTTTCTTTCAGCAAGGGCTTAAAAGCAAAAAAACCTAGCTGACTTGCAATAAACCAAAGCTTTCCCATTTGCAAGAAGCAGCCACAGACTAGACTTTCTTTTCTTGTTCCTAAATTTATTATCTTAAAGTTAGAGATATAATAGCATTTGTCTAGTGAACCAAAATATCCTGTAAGGGAGGTTTTTAACCTATTGGACAATTTACAATTGCTTACTAACACTGACCAGTGCCCCAGACAGAATGGGCAGTTTTCTAAGGTGAGAAAGAGGAACATCTGCACAGTAACAGCAGAGCAGTATTCAGTTGTGTATTTGCATCAACTAAAGTATGTCCACCACAACAGTCAAAGAGAGATGGGGAAATCCCTCCCAAACCTCAGAATTTCCATTTCAATATCTAATTAACCACTGTGATCTCTCACTGAGATTTTTCTCAAGTAACATTTCAGAATGAAGCAAGACAAACACAAGGCTGCCCAAGGTCTTTGGATTCAATGTGTATCACAGAACGGTTTGGGTTGGAAGGGACCTTTGAAGATCATCTAGACCATCATTATCTTACACACAGCACAGTTTCCCCTTCATTAACACAGTATTTGGACATCTCACAGTCACTACCAGTTACGTTCATAAATCACAGGGTGTTCCCCCCATTCTGCAAATGGCAAACCAAGATACAGAAAGGTAAGCGACACCTCTGAAATAATACAAAAGGTGACTACAGTACAGCACAGACGCTCACCCCAGCAATTTGGCATACTCCGTGCTTTTTCTTACACTGGCTGACAAGATAAAAGTTCAGTTCTTAAAGCCTCGCTCTAATGCATTCTGTCATACAGAATGTTTGAAAGGAGGAGATTTACTGACACTATAGAAAATGTTTTCTAGTTTTTTGAGTCTGTAAAAAGATTTCTTAAAAACAAAGCCATAAACGGTCTTGTTCTGCAAGACAAAGTATGATAAGCCAACTGAACAACTTGCTGCTGTGAAAGGAAAGGTTCTGGTCCTCCTTCCCTTATTTTCCTACCCGCCCTGAACTCCTGCTTCTTTCCTTGGGCCAGCACCAGGACTTCTCTGTGAGCCTCTTTAATTCACTAAACCTGGCATAAAACTGACCTTGCCCAGGTACCATGTTAAAACAGATCACAGAAGAGTCCATGGAGTGGCATGCAGCACAAGGATGAAGTCAGGAGCATGATCTGGGAGCAAGGAAGAAGAAAGGTATTCCTTCTCACCCATGGCAAGCTGTTCAATTGGCCCAGCTGCCTATAGATCCACAGACTGCATATGGGGACACTGGATGACACCCTGTGGAGCAAACTCCACCTCAGTTCTGGGGGCAGAGCCTATGTCCCCCAGGGATGGGATGGGCACTGGTGCACCATGCAGAACTCAAGACATGGGTGTGCAGGAAAGGCACCTCTGAAACAAACTGATGTTGTGCACTTAGTCCTGAAGGTTGATGAACACATGGGCAATTCAGGAGAGAACTACCACATTGGGAATTAACAACTCTGGAGAGAAATATCTTCCATGAAGCCTTCCTGCTTTCATCTTGCAAGAGCACTCGAGTGCAAGTTCTCTGGGGCAGCATACTACAGGCATATTACGCCTAGCAAAACAAACCTGAAGCATCTAAATACAACTTTGATGATGGATTATTTTCAAGAGGAGTATTCTGTTCAAAATAGCTTTAACATTCATCCATATTGCTGGAAGTTGGTTACATGTAGCACTGCTAACCTGCAGTAGAATAGCTACTGATTTTGCACTGATTTTGCAGATGTGTAAATAGTTGAGTGTATTTGTAGCAAAACACAACACATAGTACAATCCAGCATACTCTAAACACATTTGCACATGAGTCTATTTAAAAGCAAAGCCAAATTTTGGTCTGTTTAAACCCCAAATAACTTCTTGTATAATGTTCAAACCTGTAAGGAAAGCAATTTCCACGCAGAAATTTAAAACCAAAACTTAGGTGTTGCTGTTTCTCATCATGCGACTGTTACTGGGAGGAAGGGGGGCGGGGGGGGGGAGGGGAAGCATTAACATCCCTCTCCATATTTGCTTAAAACAGAATACCACCTACATGGTATTATTCTTGGCTTTGATAGAAGAAATATATGATAACAGCAAAAATTTTTACATTAGTAAGAGATCTTTGAAGTACCTTTATGTATTCACTCCAGTGTTGCAAAAGGATCTGCTGCCCACCTTTTACCCTGCTGAAGAGCTGGTATGTCTGGGTCAAATCTGATATTCTATTTTCATCAAGCAGGTTATCAAGTCCTAAAAAAATAAAATTAGAAGAGTGAGCAAATTTGAACACGGTTGAAAAAATATAGTTAGAAATATATTAGAAAAAACTCTATTAAATACATCAAGAGACAAGACCCTCCAGTGTGCTTAAAAAGTACAAATGTTTTAGGACTAAATTTCTGAAAGCAAGTGATATGCTCAGGCTTAACATGTCCCCTTATTTAAACTGGCTGAAATGATTTATGGTGTAATATTTTAAAACTATTTCAACTGAATTACTTTTCCAGCAAGATGTTGACTGTAAGCCTTCTGCAGAACATTTATGAACAGTGCTTGATTTGAAGGGTAGGTACAGTTTTATCAAGAAATAACACAGAGAACCTCTAAAGAACGTCAGAAAACAGTAAGCTAAGTAAACTGCTCCAGATTTAAATACTCTGCAAGTTTTTTTCTGTTGAGTGTGATGAGCCATCTTTTTAGATTAAGAACGTGCTATGAATTCTCTGTGCTCATACAAATGGAACAACACAAGACTACAAATCCCTTCCAAGCAACTTTTGCCTTTATCAATTCACCCTACATGAGATTAGGCCTTGGACTAATGAACGGAGAAGCAAAGCTCAAGGCAAAACACAAAGCATAACAACCACATACACATTTTCACATTTGAGAATATGATTACCACAGTTCCAGTGTAATCAGAGATATGTTGTACAGTGTTGGTGACAGAGGCTTTAGTAATATTTAGCATCAAAGTTTTATGGCATTTTTTAAAATCCAGAAAGCTTGATTTTACACAGGCTGACAATTCATACCAGTGTAACTGACACTGTACAACTGTCCTACTTCACAAAATATACTTCATTAATTCAAATTTTTAAATGCTGTGTTATCCAATACCATTCTCAATCACTACTGAATTATCCTATTTCTACAATAATCTTAAAAATACTTACACTGTATATTATAACTTACATGTTCAGAAAGGCAACCAATGTTCAAGAATGATGTCAGGTAAACTTTTGCATGATATTTTGAGATAACTTTGACATATGCCTAAATTTTTGAGATATTAGAAGAATGGGCATACTTTAAAAGTATGTAAGACAACAGATTACAAAGTCTTGAATACATGTGGCTGCCCATTCCACCACATCCAAGCATCACCTCCTATTCATTTAAAGACACCAATACACTAACTGCTTTGTTATGACCTGAATTATAAAGTTCAACCTTCCCTCTTCCTCTGGCATATGACCGGCGTAACTGAAATAATTATTTTTGTCACATACTTGACAAATGAAAAAGACATATAGGAATGTCCTCTGAGACAAGGATTTGCCCAACTTCCAGAAAGCACTGCCACAGCCTTGGAAAAATTTATTATACTCACAATGAAAAAAAAACACCAATATCTAGTCAATGGCAGTTGTAATAACACAAGAATAAAGTTTCTTATACGTGCCCTGCATTTGTAAGCTTTTTTCCCCCCTGTATCAAACTGACTACATCCAATGCCTTCTCCTAAGGAACAAAACCTACAAAAGGCAGCATCTTCTCCTACTTGCACAGAATACTAGGATGTTATAAGCAATTAAAATGTGCCCGGGATCAAATGAATGCAGAAAGTTATGCAAGTCAAGTGATGTTAGACTTAAAAAAAAAAAGTAAGTGCACACATAGAATGCAAAAGCTGATCCAACAATACTACAGTCCTAAAATGTAGTAACTAGAAGAACGTAGATCTCTCCATATCTACATGGATGGTACATATGCATTATAAACCAAGAAAAAGTTCAGGTTAAAACAAGACCACTTACTTTCTGGTTAAGCCAACCGAAACAAAGGTGTCACTGGAAAAGTTATTTTAAAATAGTACTTGAATTAAAGAGCAAGCAAAATTTACATATATCAACAAAAAATTAATTATTCTTACCTTTGTTTATGATAAGCTTAAGAATAGCTAAAATGGAGTGACCATGCTTATTTTTATAAATGTATTGAAAACAGTGAAATACCTTATTCCCAGAGTAGTTCAGAGAGAATTGTAGGCATATGACTATCTTCAAAGGGAACAAAGCAAAAAATGAAAAGAGTATGTGTAACAATCTGAAAGTTTTAAGAAACATGGACATGATGGAGCTTGAAGATACCAGACTACCAGGGACATCTATTTTGTAGCAGTAAAGGAAAGCCACTGCTGCCAAGTCAAAAGAGATTTAGGGGGTTTAGCAATCTTTACAAATATGGAATTATATTTTAGGTATTTGTTTCTGTATATACAATTACTTGTCACAGAGGGTGTAACAGTCATAGGGTTGGCTTTCTGTATCTATGGAAGTTTTTCCTATGGCTAATATACCTCCTTAAATAAAAACTGTGGAGTACTTAATTATTACAGAGCATGAGAATCTGTTGCTTACCAGAGATTACATTAATTAAAAAAAAATACCTTTTTGCAAAATAGCTGATAAGTGTTCTCCTAGGAGCTGTTTCTCCACACAAGCAATCAGTGGTTTCCTAAATAAGACAAGAAAAGTATATTAGAAGTATTGGAGTACAAGGGAATTGCCTCCTGTCAGAGTGTATTTGTGAATAACTTACACTATAATACAACAACAACAAAAAAAAAATAAATCAACCATTTTCTACTTAAAACAGAGGCTACAAATTAAGACAAAAGTATCATATATGATATAAGTCAAGAAAAAAACCCAACAGTAAACCACATACATGATTAGAAAAGAAATTCAGGTTTGAATACTAAAAAGCAAGTTCTTACACAGTAGAAGAGAGAAGCTTAGACACCAAACATCAATACAAAAATGTTTCTGGAAAAAAGTCAAATTGTCATTTTCTTGGAAACAAACAAGCAAACAAACAAAACAACAAAAGAAAATACAAGCCACCAAGGCTTTCAACTCTAAAACACTACAATACATGCTGGTGATGTTCAAAACTCAAAACTTTTCATCCAGTTGTGTTACGCACCTACATAAGCATAAATTGAGTTAGAACCACAAGACTCGAATTTGCAAAACATTTTAAATTTGTCCTTGAATTTTCCCTACTTTTTACTATTAATGAAAAATTTTTTTTATACAGTCACTTCAGACTGGACTGAGAAACAATGGCAAGTTTTCCTTTATATCTTTTATAGCTTAAAAGAAGAAAGAAATGCCTGAAGTGCAAAGGTATAATTCATTTCAGTGTTTAAACTTATACCACTGCTTACAATGAAAACAAAAGACCAACCATTTCTTTCTGAGTTAAGTTTTATAAAACCGGTTCTCAGACCCATAATTTAGATTTTCTAGAAGAGAGGTGCTCGACTTGGATTGATGGGAGCCTTTCATGTAGCAGCATCCACTTTATGTCTCTATTTCTGCCAAAACATCACCTTTCCTGGAAACACCGCACCAATGATTTGCCTGATCTTCCACACAATACACAGTTTTAGTCACTTCATCTCGAAAAGATTAAATTAGAATTTGGAAAGGTTCAGAGAAGTGAACAAGGATGACCAAAGTACGCAGCAGCAACAAGAGAAACAACTGCACACGTTAGGACCCTTCTTTCTGGGAAAGGGATGACTTAGCAGGGATACAGTGCATTGACAGGCAGGGAAAGGTGGAAGGGAACTGATCACTTTCCCTTCCAATACAAGAACTGGTGTAAGTGATGGTACCGGGAGCCAGACTTAAACAAAGGAGGCAATTTATCATGTGGTGGCTTGTCCACCGGAGGAACACTTTGCCAAAGGCTGGCATGGATGGAAAAGCTTATGTGAATCCCAGTGAGACAGGGCAAATATTTGAAAGAGATCCAGACTGAGCTGAAAACAGGCAGATACTAGAAGAGTATCAGGGCACCACGCATACTTACTCTATTCTTTCCCTTCAGTGGTCATAAGCGAACATTAAAATACCCTTGGTCTTAACACATACAGCCATTTTTCTGGTCACTTCCATACTCCCTGAAATTTCCAAATACTGCTATCTACAACTGCTGACTCGTCTCCAACAGCAGAAGTAATCAAGGCTGTATAAAATACCATCCTTTGCCCTAGAAGAGCTACTCTGCCTACAGGGGAAGTAAGGACAACTTGTCTGCTTGAGACTAAGAGGCAGAGAACTATTTCCTAACAAGCAGACAGACAGAATGGGTATTTATCTTGACTGCTAGCTGATGAATGAGCCTGAAGGTACCTTCCTGTGGCCTCCAAGTCATCTACCTCGGTCATCTACTGACTGACCAGGAGACATGCTTATTCTGTCAGCTGTCCAGAAAGAGGCATGTACTGATGAGCTGAATAAATCCTGGTATGGGCTGCAACAACACACTCTCCATGTGTTGCAGAAATCTGGTTTGAAGTGTTTTGAATGGTGTTTCCCATGATGGTTTTGTCCTGGAAGTATTGTTTCCATCTCAAGATCAAACTCCGTAACTAAACTTGACATCCTTTCTGCTCTTTTCATGCACACCCAGAGAGTCAGTATGTCCTGAGGACAACTCAAGGGCACTAATTTTAAGAACTGCCATTTCTTAATGCAAAGAAAGGAAATTAGAGCAAAGCTCTCTAAAAGTAGGTTTCTACGCCTTTAGCCAAGGACGAGATTCAAAGCAAGGACTTGATGTATATCTAGACTGAAAATGTAATGATATCAACCTATTTTTAAATGTAAACAGTAAATAAATATATGTATGCTTTAACTTTATACATATAAATAGTTCCACATATTTTTATGTGACTGATTTTGCCAGAAAAAGCTAGTCACACTGCAATCAGCATTAACAAGAAGATTCAAGTTCAAATATATACCATGACATGCAATGCATGTGTGTGTTAGTATATATATGTCTGAAGAAAATAAGTTAGAAAGATAATTTTTATTCGGTTATCCTTTTAACACTCAGTGAAATGCCAATACATCATCTAGAAAACTAAAAATTAATAAAGAACATAACATTTTATTTTAACTGTTATGTTCTTTATTTAAAAGCAACATCTTACTGCAGGACAAATTACATATGGATTTATATCACGTCAATGACTCTGCAGTACTTCCTCAATGCACATTCTTACCCCAGCAAAACACACACTATTCCTCAACACCTGACTGAAAAAGGACAAGCTATTTTGCACAATACACTAGCAGCAGCTGCACCAAAGCTGATCTACTGTTATGTTCACATCCTGGACTGCTAATGAATGATGTTCATGTCCTCTATCCTACACTGTAATTTAACCTTTTCTTTTCGTTTTTTGCCTAATGATTCTTTCTTTCCCTCAAAGGATTTATGGTCAATTTTATTCTCAGCATATGAATGGCTAAAATCAGCTGCTACTTTGATAATGTAAATTTGAGTTCTTATATAATGTTTTTTTAACTTCAATATACATTGACAAATCTTTCTGGACAAATTTCTCCCCACTTACTCAAAGTATATTTTGATTTTAAAGAAAACAGTTTTGATAAAGTCTTAAAAAAACCAAACTGTATCATAAGCACTGTCAATGATAATGCAGAAATAATCTGTCTCTCTACAACTGCAGATAATCACCCTGGTTTATGATGAATGCTTGACTTACGCTAAGAATGAAAAAATTTGTACTCACTGTGTGCTGTGGTCTAAATATGTTATTACTCTGTCTCCTTCTTCTTCCAAACGTTTATTAACATGGTGAAGATATTCTGGGACCTAGCAAGACAAGAGAATGTCAAGCAAGACAAGAGAATGTCAAGTGTAACTACAAAATTATGAAAGGCAGATAATCTTGTTCCATGACAATTATTTTAAATACAGATTTAAAGAGAATACAAATTGGAAAGGACTATTCCACCAGAATGTTATGTAGTACATAATGGATATTTTTATTAATGACTGTTACTTTATATTAAAAGTATTACAACTGTACCTGAGAGAAAGGAAGAGGAAAAACAGAAATCTGAGAATTTTTCAGAGGAAGTTAATTTTTTTCCTCAAAACCCTTCTGAGCTAAGCTAGTCCCTAAAATATCATGGACCAGATCTTCAGTTGGTGTGAACCATACAGTTCTATTATTTCAATGGCAGTTTCTCCTGTGGAGTATCTGTCCCTATGGAGAGTTAACACGTTTAACACATAATACAACACAGGTATGAAACTCAGGCTTCAAATGATCAAAACCATTATGCATACACATGTAGATATACACATATGCACACACACATGCATGTACATATGCATGTACATGCACGTGTGTATGCATTATGTGCACATGCATAAATATGTACATGTACACACTGTATAAGTTGGGGCGTTACTCCTTTTGTGGTTTTCCACAGTTTTCCATTAGGGATATAAAAGCAGTAAAACTCTTGGTCTCAGAATCGGTGCTGAAGCATTTCACCTCAGGTCCCATTGAAACGCAAGGCAATGAGGTGAATTGAGCAGGATTAGACACAGGGATTCACCTCAGTGCAATGTAAACAGGCGTTTTCAAAATGTCTGTAGTGACTCAATGTTAAAATAGAATTAATTAATGTAGTCTTCTGTATTTTAGACCACCACGCAACTGGGCTTTTGATACGCATTTTCAGAGATAACCACATTTGCAGGCTGCCCACTGGAGAGCACAATTTAGCTCAAAAGGACAGAAAACAAAAATGTCTTAAGTCTATTTAACTAATAAGGAAAAGAAACAAAACACCACAATAAATGCAATGACAGGGTAAAAAATTAATGAGTTTACTTAGGTATTAGTCACATAGCAGAATGATGCCAGTGGATATTTCACAGCTCTTGGGCAAAAATAACATCGGTGGCACACCTTTAAGCTTTATGTGGAGATTACTTTCTGGTACTGTGACTTCAGCTACACAATATGTCACCAGGTTTCTCCACCCTTAATTATATATTTCAAACACCAAGGCAACCTGGATATTGTGATACAGTACTGTGGTCTCCATCAAAACCTGTGAATGTGTGCCTGCATACCTGGGCACAGTGAATTTCATCGGCATTAATACACCACAGCACTACCAGAAGTTCTTACCAGCAGATAAAACCAGTGTAAAAGCAATCAACTACAGCATGCACCTACCTCTCTTTCTTGCATTAATCTTTGACCCTCTGCAGCATATAAGCAATTTGTCTCTTCCAGAAACCTCTGTTCAAATGATTCCTTGTAAACCTGCTCAAGAAATGAATTTAGTTACTTACATTAAGCTGCCGGTAAGGGTAGCATATTTTGGCTGTCAGGCATTAGAGAACAAGTAAAATCTTGAGAACACACACAGTTATGAGAAGTGTCAGAGTAATATTACTTTAACACAGAAGTTCTGTTTGCCCACTGGTTTTAGAAAGACAGAGATCAGAGCTGACTTCCCAGTGCAGCAATAGCATATTTCAGTCATCAGTACCCAAATTATCTAAATTGACAGGGTTCTGTTTAAGGTACACAGACCAACACCAGTATCCAACATATGCACAGCAATGACATCCAATCCACCTGAGCTTAAGAATCCCACTGATATTTCTGTGGCAAAAAAAAAAGAAGATACTTCCAACTAGTGAAACATTGGCACAAACAGGTAATTCCCATCAGTAAAACAGTAATATGCTCAGTCATGCATCTTCAGATCTGCCAGGTTTATGTCAGTGGCCCAAAAGCAGGAAAAATTAATTGTACCAAACAAGGTGAACTCTCTTTCTCCAGGGAAGGAGCAAGGTGACGTATAAAAAAGGGCACCGACAACCATCACAGACATAACAAAAATTCAGCATAACAATTAGCAGTTTAGTATAGAAAGGAGATAAGTTAGAAAGGACAACTGTACAAAATATTTAAAACAATGTGAAGAAGGTAGCTAGGGAATAACATGTAAACAGCAGGACAGTTAGTGAAAAGAAAAATGAAAGATTCCTTGAGTGCGGTGGACGAACAGAAGGAAATCTTTCTTCCAAAAAATATAGCAGAGCTGTAAAGCTCATTATTACATTCTGACCAGATTTCTTTTCTTACGGACTTTAAGAGTGGGGGGTTTTTTTCAATACAAACTTAAATATGAATCCTCTGGCTCAACAAGCATTCAGAGCATCATAATTCACTAATTCAGCATCATAAGTAGACATCAACTCATTGCCAGCCTTCTTGTTACACTAGCTCCAAGTTCAACAGGATCAAATACTGGATTCCATTTCTTACCTTCCCTGCCTTCAGGATAACTAGAAAAACATTAGCATAACAGTATATGGAACTATTTTCTGCATAAAATGCGTGTAAAGCTCTGCAACAGGAAACAGCTATAGAACAGGATTTATGCAAGCATGAATCAACTTCAGCAACTGGTTCTCAATTGCTTAATTGCCTAAAAATCAGGAATGAGCAGGAGCTTAATTGTTTTCAAACTAAACATAAGATTTGCTTTATTAATTAATCTTTCTCCAGAAGCTAAGTTCTGTTGAAAGAGGGAATAGCAGAGATCCTGGAGTAAAATCACAGGATTATAAGCACATCTCTATCTCAATGAAGTGACAGATATAAAAAAAACATTAGATTGGGTTAGTTTCCCTAGTGAAAAAAGAAAAATACACTTCTGAGCCAGTGAACAAGAATGCAGACCTAAATCCAATTCGGTAAGAAGGATCCAATAGAGGGGAATGTTTATCTTTAGCAGAGTACATTGCTAAAAAAAAAAAAAAACAGGTGAAAAAGTCAATACCTACAAGAATCTGATGCAGTCAGAGAAGGCAAATAACAATGGGGAAAAAAAAGTTGGAAAAAGCATACAGATTCGCACCTTCAAGTTATGTGATCTGAAAACTCAGAAGTTTGCCTTGCCTCTTGAACAGAATAATTTTTTTTTTCTGGTACACTAGAGACAGTTATGGATGAAAAGTCAGGAGGGTTAACATAAAAGACAGAAAAGCAAGTAAGCTGCTGGGCCAAAAAGGACTATTTAATAGTCTTCTATGCAGTCTTCCTCTTCAAACTCTTTTTTAAATCTTCAGCCGGTTTTGTAACACTGTACATCACCTGGGAATGGAGCAACCTCAACAGTTTGTAAGAACGAAAGACAGCTCCTAAGTTTTACTGCACATCACGCAAAGCTGCAATGTTGACCAGAGAGCAACACACGCCAGAGTCAGAAGCAGACATTTTTTATTCTATTTGGTTACTTAGTATCTACGCTAATAGAAAGTTCCAGTAAGTTACAGGTTGACTTTTATCTATTTGAAAACATTGGCCTTAACTTCACATCTCATTCTATCCTTGGCATCTCTGCTAAGAAGTTGCCAATGCAGTGATGTTTTTGTGATACAGACCCGGGGATCTGGGTCTTTTTACAGTGACGAAGGTGGTCTTTTTTGGTTGCTGCACTTAACCAGCACTAGGATTAGAAAACCAGTGATGAAGACAGACAAAATATTACACATACTAAAAGACCTGCAAACTTATTACTTCAGAGTCTGCGGGCCACTATGTTAGCCAAGAAAAACAGGCAAAGACGTCTCATTTTACAAAGAGAGAATGAAAGATTGTGCATCAGCTGAAAAAAAGGCGATCTTATCAGTTTAATAGCTAGATTTTGAAGCACATTTACTAGAAGAATAAAATTATTTCTGTACAACACACAAATTAGAAGAGTCCAAATTCTGTTTCTAAATGTAGGCATTACACTAGTAACATTTGTTGTACCCACCTGCAGATCAGAGAGCATGCTCAACAAGCTCCGCAGCAAACTTCTGTCCACAGCTTCACCGTTCCGTTCTTGTTCGATCAGCAGGAGGATTCCATCAATAGTCTTGTTTTGAACTTGCTTGTCACTGATGACATGATTTCTAAATAACTCTAGCCCCATATCCCTGTGTGATTATTGAAAATTAATAAATCACGCTATTGATTCTTTCCAAAAATCTGTATCTCAGTTTGAGAAAAATAAATACATACAAAATATAAACAGTGCATATATATTATACAGAAAGAGAATATATTAATGGTAAGTATAATCTTTTGGCGCTGTCCACTAAGAAAAGTGTAACAAGAATTATCATACTAGGCCACATGCTACCAGATGCATACACTTCAGCTAAGAACTGTTACCAGCCTGACTGTATTTCACATAATAGACTACAACATTCTCTGTTTATTAAAAAAAAAAATCACTATTATAAAAATAATAAAAAATCTGAACACAGACCTCATCATAAGATTCCCTGGATCAGTCAATCTATGTGTAATTTATAAGGTTGTTTTTTTTTTTACAGCATGTATTCTCTGGATGTTTAGGACCTTATGACCACCTGTATCAGATTCTTGTTTCATTCTAAGAGGATGAGGAATGGTGCCTCTATGCCATGAAGCAGCCAATTACTAAACATTGTCTTGGCCAAGGAAAACAGAGGAATCTTAGGTAAAACTTGTTATCTTCAATGTCCATGTACTTACATGCATCAGGATTTCAGTAAGGGAAATTTTCCCAGTACGAGGAAGAAAGACACAAAGTATAAACAGGCCCCTTCAACAACATTCAGTAAAAGGAAGCCAACAAAGAGTTGGAGGAAAACTATTGCAGAGGTTGGGAAGAAAGACTGCAGGACTAGCGAGGGGCAGGAGAAGGATGCCGGTTTCTCAGACAGCCCAAGGAAGTCCTGAGAGCACAGCCAGGCAGGGAAAAGGAACAGTCTCACTTTAGTACTTTATCTACATCTTTTTCTGCTTTAGATGAGTACTGACACAAAAAATTTTTGGCAAAGCCTAGGTTTGTTTGCTCAGGTGATGATATAAAATGCCCCTCAGGGAGGGATGCTGGAAAACAGAATGCCCAAAGGCACAATTGTGGTGTGCTGAAAGCACAGCAGCAACTAGGGGAGCCAGCTTTCATCTCAACACTCTGAGCCACAGGTCTTGATTCTCAAGAGGCCACTGCTGGAAAGCTGATCTGCATCTCATCAGTGTATCTGACTTACTTAAAAAAACAATTGAGCAAGAAGTTGAGCGCTGAATTCGGTCAAAACCAGGAGTACCTAAAGTAACACTTGGCCCAGGGTTGAGGTGCACAGGCATCAACCCGAGGAGGTTCCCCACAGCGCCAGCCTCACCCAGGCTGTGACAGCTACAGCTGTACATATGCCTTGACTTTTAAGCATATGTTCACAGACCTTTTTCTTCTTTTACCCTCACTTTACAATGAATATTCCTGGGAAAGGAGGAAATGACACATGCATACACTGACACATCTATTTCCATAAATTAACACAAAATTTTATTACACAGATCAAATATAATGTGAAAAATTTATTTTCAACCTTTACAAATGTAATAGCATGTTCAAACTCTAAAGATTCAAGGAATACTTACATGGATACCTACCATATAGAAGGAAGCATTGAATTCTGAAGGACGTATGTACGATCCAAAAATAAGAAAATGCTTCTGATCATGATCTGAAAATATATAAAGAAAACGTCTCTCTTCACCATCACCTGGCATTTTAAATTATAAAGCAACTTCTGAAAAACTACATCACATAGACATGCACCTTAATTGCCCACGCATGTATTTTCAACTTTTGTGGTGACTTGTACAGCCACTGGTATGCAATTTATTGATGCAAATGCTATTACTAAGCAGTGTTACCAAGTACATTCAAGACAGTTTTCAAACTCATAACCATGAGCTACATAGTTTTATTAGCCTGTTATGAGTTTTAGTGCTACATAAGCCATCCAAGCAATACCACCAAGACATTCAGTAAACACCCTGAAATAGCACGCTACCATGGTTTTTGCTTTTTAAAAAAAGAAGCTTTAAGCAGAGACAGTAATAAGCTGTGCAACAGATCTTTTCATAATAAAAGTTAGTTGCCAAAATTAATGAGAAAAATAGAGATACTTTAATTCTAATGGGAAAAAAGGTATAAAAATATATTATATTTTTTTAAATTAAAAAAAGTGGTAGAAAGGGGGGGGTTTAGCTTATTACTCTTTCACATTCAAAATCCATTTTTAACTTTGCTCATAAAAAGGCTGCCCAGCTTTCAGTTTAGCATAATTCAGAATGTCAGTAACTAACTCACCCCCAGGCCAGCTACAGAGACTTCTATCCCCAGCTGTCTACCTACTCCTCCCCTAAAAGGGTTTCATTGCTTCTGAAGCAATTCTCAAGCTGACATAGTTTCTGGTCAAGCATAAAACAGCAGCGAGGCTGACTCTTTTTTCTTAAATACAACAAGCGCCAAGTCTGCACATGGGCAAGAAAGCCACTTCTACAGGTTGTTGCTTTGAGGAAAAAAAATTTAAAAACAACACTCAAAAGTAATTAAAGTGATCAGAGTTCATAGTAAGAGCCTTTTTATAAAAACACAGGTCCAGTTTAATTAGATTTTCAAGGCAATAAACTTCAACTCTATTTTCATCAAAACGTTGAATTTGTTTTGAATAGGTTCCATAAATGCTTTCCATTTTTATTTCAGACAAAAAACACATACCTCTGCCCATCCCCCACAGGGGAGAGGAGAGGGGTGGATTCAAGGAACGAAAATAGAAATTCAGCCATTTGGGGCATCTGTAGCCAAGGCTAAGTGACAATGCAATGAAAATGCTTTTAAAAAATGCTGGGTTAGAATTATAATGATGCATTCTTAAAGGGACAATTCACACAGAGTGTCTTTGAGAGAGGACTTTTACTGTAACATAATTCATTGTGGAGGTAGAGGACAAGAAGGGCTGAAAGACAGACAGGGTGAGTTTCAGTTCTTTAATCTTCCTGTTTCTTAGCCCCACAGTCATTATCCTAGCTCCTGGAGAGATCTAAAAGCAGATTGTGGATTCTCCAGTTACTTAAAATTACAAGCAGCAAACAATTTCGGCATAGCTTGGTTGGTTTTTCTTTCCACCCATAGAAAATAGGTGTCAAGATATTTCTAAGTGATGTTCCAACTTCATATGAAACCCATAAAAGTTGGAGTCAACACAGCAGAACATGAGTTTTCAACAACAAAACCGCCCCCAGCTAACAAAGGGGAAAGTGAAAAGGAATGCTGAAACTTGGAGGAGGAGGTGCAACACAGTCCCAAGTTAAAACCATGACAAACTAATTTTTGCCAGATTTCACACCTCAAGTATACGTATTCTGAGCAAACACATTCAACTTACCATTTGTCTGCAATGATCTTGCCAGCATTTATTTATCTTCTTTAAAAATAAAAGACTATCCAGAGAATCTGTACAGCACCTGTTAAGGAAAACTACCTTGCTGGTATCTTTTGGGGCCAGATTCTGGAGGTGATCTTTGCCAGCCATTAAGCAAAGCTGCTCCACGTATATTCTAACATTACTGGGACTGCACAGGGATAAACAGTGAATTGCAGAGCTTCTGCCCAGCAGAGGGGCTGGCAGTTCTCCAAAAGGCCTCCCTACATTCTCAAGGAATAACACTGCTCTTCAGTAATACCATCTGGTGGCTGCACCATGTAACTCTGATATAGGTTTAAACAAGAAATCCCACCGGTATCAAAAACAACCTGTCGTCAACTGAGGTGAGAGGGACAGAAAGGTTTATTTTGTTTAATGAGTTCACACTGCGCACAACAGGAGTGACCCTAATCTCTTAAAAGCAGTTACAGTTCTCAATAATCCCCAACAAATCCAAATATTGCTCTTTTCATATACATCTACAGGTCTCCCTAAGTAAACTATAGAGTTTTCTTTATTACACAACAGATCCAACTGTTATTTACAAATAACAGAATTCTCATGTGTCATACAAGTAAATCCAAATGTGGCTTTACCTTCCTCTCCTGCACAGTATCATCTCCAACTCCCTCTGGCCAAATCTGATTAATCTGATCTTCATGTCCTTGGGATATAAAGTGGTGTACCTGTAGAATATAGAATTCTCAACTCTCCAAAGCACCAGCTCTGTCAGGGGGCAGGGAGAAAGCAAAGTTTTAAAACACCAGTTTTAAAACACCTCTTCAGAAGATCATCTGAAGTCTGAAAAGGCAGGGACACAAAAAATGGTTGACTGTACTGCTTTAAAGCAGACGATAAGATTCGAGCCTCAGAAATAACGTATGTTTAATAGACTACTGGACCGACAAATGTACTTTTTACTTACATGTCATTTTAAATGCATCGAAGTAAATGTAACAAAAAGATCAGCTGCCATATAAGCAGTGAATTCACAGTGCTGATTTATGTACGTATGTTTCTTATATGATATGTAGAAGTCACACTCCTTAACTAGGACTCAAAAAAACTTCCCAAAAACAAACAACCCAAAACCATGTTGGGACTTAGCTAGATAACAGGAAAAAAAAAAAAGAAAAAAATTATCTTCTTTATGAGTGTAGGCACCTACCTGGGGAATGCAGTGAACTGAGAAACTGAGAGTCACAATCCAAAGCACATTTAAGGTATTCACCTGGAAAGAACCTTCTTTCCGGGCCCCAGCCCCTTGTTCTTTCTATTTTAACCTATCATTTTCTGCTATATACAGAGACTTGGGAAACACTGCTAGCACCCAAAGTACTGTAGTACCTGTTCAGTACGGCACTCTCCAGCATCTGCCTGCTAAGGCACTCTCCAGGAACAAGGGGACGGCCAAGGGGGCATAGACTCTATTTATCCTACTGCCTGAGCAAGTGCAACCCCTGGGCTATTACACAAAAGACAACTATTGCATTAAGCACTGTCTCACCATGCAAAGCACCCAGGTCTCCAGAGAAGATCTACAGGCGCTTTTGTGTCCAGTTCAACCAGCAGAAAAGCCCAGTGATGTAACTTCAGAAAACTACAGGGAAATTTACCATAAAATTCAGGTTTCTGCAGGCCCCAAGACAGCCATGTGAAGTCCTGAACTTAGAGCTCTCTCCGAAGAACCTCCCAAGGTACGTAAGGTACCTAAAGGGCTTGTTGAATGCCTCTGTGACACATCGCTGCTGAGCAGTATTTATTATTGGTCACACAGGTGTACTTTATGTTTGAGAATCCTTTTACACAAGACACTGTTGTTGAAAATTACTGCAGTGATTTTTTTTTTTTAAAAAACTATTGCTACTGCAAGCATCTCCAGTACTCACCAGCCATAAAATTCCATACCTGCTGTTAAATCTCATAGTGCTGTTGAAATTTTCTAGATTAGGAGTAAAATTTGCATTCCTATTAAAATGATAAGTAAATTGTTATTAGCATGCTACTTAACGCTACACAAAAATTATTCACCCAGATGACTAAAGTTGCTTATGCCTGATTCGAAAATATGTAAGTGGTCAAAGAACCTCTAACACATTGGCAATTACTGGTGTATTTTTTACAAAGTGTTGTTTTAAAAAACAATGATTTAAACTAACCATTCTAACCATTTCTGTGTACGAGAAAAAGGATATTCTCTAAATTGAAGGATTTGTGCTTTCACATGATCTTCACAGACTTGTCGCAGCTGTTTGTACAATGTAGCAGAGACTTTGTAAGAGCAGAGATTTTCAACAGCCTAAAAAAAAAATAAAAAGATTATGAATGAGACCAAAAAAACACCCTCAAATTTTTGTGCCTGTGTAATCAAGGTCAACAACAAAGAGAAAAAAAAAAAAAAATCATATCTGTCCATACTGTCCATCCATATCTGTCAATACTATCTGTCCAAGCTGTGCACAAAACCAAAACATCAAATTAAATTACCCAAACTATGTAGAAAAATTAAGACTTCATGATTCCTTTCTGACTTGGGTCCCTTCTTATACTGCCAGATTTCATGTACAAACAAGGTCCACCATCATCACCACCTGGGACATATTTCAGATGTGCTGTTAAACATTACTAGAACTTCCCCCCCCAAATACTACTCAGCAGTGGAACTCTTCCTGTAGGTCCATTTTGTGCATCCTCCAGTGCACACACACGCATTTTTTGGGGGAGAACACAATCATACCAAATATTTTCGTTTCTTAGTAACTTTAAGGTAGACGCTTCAACCACTCTCTCAAAATGGTAAATGAATACAGCTGCTTTCCTGTCCTTTTATTAACTTCTTTCCAAATATTTCCACTGATCTACGCACTCACACTAAGGTATGTAAACTGAGTGGAAAAAAATAATTAAAAAACCCAACAAAAATCCCACTTCAACTGTTACAAAGACTTTAAATAATTTATTGGGACCTCATGGGATTTAGTTGAGTATTTATCCACAGCTGAACAAGACTACCGACTCTGTCCAAACCCAAATGTTCTTGTGGTCACCACATTAATGCAAATTGAGCTGTTATGCAGCTAACCTAGCCTAAGCCAAGACAGGTCTGGCCATCTCTAGAACACTGCTGTTCAGCTATTCAGTAATTACATTTTCTTACGCTAACATTTTTCTTCACAAGAAACTCAATGAGAATGCCAAAAAGAAAACGTAGCCTTCCTTAATACCACTGCCTATATTTAGGCTTTGTTCCAGGCACACTTATATTTTAACTTGTGTGCTGTATTTCAAGAAGTTATTTTATTAATAGACCATAGCATCTGAAGTGAATCACAATGAAGACAGCCAAATGTAAGAACTGTAAAGTTTACAGTATGTATTTTTGGCCACTCAGTGCTTCATGCAAAATTATCCAAAGGAGTTGGACATGATTTTCAGAACTAAAAATCCATCTGTCTTTTCCTTTAACTTCACCTGAACTGCCTTTATGCTAGGAGGTGATACTGCAGAGAACACTAAGATTTAAAGCACTATTTCACCTGGGCAACTAAAACTGACCCAAGAATGTAAATCCTTTGGAGCAAAGGAAAATAGTGTCACATTTTGTTGATAAATTTTCTGACAGCATCAGTGAACTTGGACAAAGTTTCAGTATTTTCCCAGTGCTGGGCCTTTACTCATACTCTGTTTCCCCCGAATTTCAGCTTTTTTTGGCATGTCTTATTTCTTTGTAATATGAATGAAACATTACGGTGCCTAATGCCAGCATGTAACTCTTTGTCAAAGCAGTAGTAAATGTTCTTCATTCTGTTTCAGTTTAAGATCACCCAAATACATGGGTTAGCAATTGTGTGGGCCAAGAGAGGGTAAGGGGGAAAAAGACAATGCTGCTTTGGGCAACAGTGCTGGATTAAAATGTATTTCAAACTGCAGCTGCATCACCTCAG